TTAGCAAGTGTGGTGAGCTTCAATGCTTAAAAACAGCTACGCAGGCAATATGGAATTGAATATGGACATTTATGGGAGATGTTGCTTTGTTTGAAGCCATGGACACAAAGACACAACATGGCTGCCCTGGAGATGACCTATTGCTTTCAAGTTGCTTGAGCACATCAGAATTTCCATTGTTAAGGTTGATTAATTGAAACTGATAAGTTACCATGAATAAAGATTGTTTTTCTGTTTAATGTGGTGGGCCTGATTTGGTAAATGCTTCATTCATGTAGCCTTGCAGTGCAGCATATGGGCAAGATTCATTCAGTATCACAAACATACACAATTTATTATGCTTGTATGGTCACAGCCAAAAGGCCTTTCTAGTTTAATGTCAAAGTCTGAATGAAAAATTCCATTTAAAGTGTCACTAATAATGTTGCATGTGAGTTTTGTCTTTTGGTCTGGCTCTTTAGTTTCAAATTCAAAAATTGTACATTAAAAAGTTAAATTCAAGAAAGAAATAGATGAGAGAGGTAAGGAGACATCGGCTTTCTTTCAAAACAGACAAGCAATTTATCTGAAATGTTTGTAGACACCTATGACAAAGGCACATGTTATGGTCTGGTGCCACCCTATGTCACACACTGCTGATAAAGTTATCACCATAATGTTTCAATAAGATACTGTCACCCCAGTTCTAAGGATCTGACATTCCTATGTCTTTCTGCTGAAAAAAAAAGACAAGTTTACATAATAAATGTGCTCTTTTAGAAAGAGAAAATCAGAAACTAAAGCTCTATAAATTATTTTATTGCAACAGTACTGTCATGACAGGCCAGAAGTTGTATACTCTTTGAAATTCAGCTGATTTAATTAGATCCTTTAACAATTAAAAGGTGTTTGACGTTTAAAAATAAACTAACAGCCAATGGCTGTGTCACTGATACAAAATTAAATTAAATTAAATTAAATTAAATTAAATTAAATTAAATTAAAATTGGCTTAGGCTTACATTTCTTGCAGGACCTTTAGCCACTTGGGATATACATTTGTAACAATAACAAGAAGTATAATTGTTATTCTTATGACCTTAGAAAAACTTTTCTCAATGTTTATGGACTCATTGCTGGAAGTGTTTCCTTATCAAATGTTGAATTGATATGAACAGCAATGAAGAAAGCAAGGTTGGGGCTCTGGGTTGGCTTGCATCCTTTTGTGACCCCCAAAATCCCCCAAAGTGGGTGAGGCCAAAAACGTGGAATTTTTTGTTTTGTTTTTGCATTTTTTAGATTTAAGAAGGTTTAAATGCTTCTCACAGTGGCCAGCCAGATAGCTCTGAGATGTTCACAAGCAGGAGATAGAGACTCTGGCCATTGTTCTTTTACAATTTGAATTTGGAGCCACTCTTCTTCCAACCCAGAAATATAATTCAGTCCTCAAGGCTAATAGACCCTGAGTGACCTGTCCTCCATAAAGAACTATTAAAGTCTTCCAGGTAAGTGGACATCATTCAGTTCAGTGGTAATAAATTCCACAAATTAATTATGCACTGTGTGAAGATTAACTTTCTTTTGCCTGTTCTAAATCTCCTTCCCACTGGCTGATTCCTGGTTCTTTTGCTTTGAGAAAAGGAGGAAAACTTTGTTATGTCTATTTCTTCCATGACCTGCTTGATTTGATATACCTTGACCATGTTCCCCTTGGTCCTCTTTTCTAAACTAAAAAAATCCTGTATGTTTTAATCTCTTCTTCTAAGGAAGGTACTTAAGATTCTTAGTTGTTTTGTTTGCCTTCTTCTTCCCTTTTTCAGCTCTATTATGCCCTTTTTCAAGCATGCAATCAGAAATATACATGGCATTCCAGATGCAGAAAATATTATATATTTGTATGTAGGTATTATAATGTTGACAAAATTATTCTCAATTCCTTTCCTAATGATCCCTAGCATGGAATTTCCCTCTCTATAACTGCTGCCCACTGATTCAACATCTTCATTGAGTTATCCTCTCTCACCCAAGATCTTTTTCCTTTAGCTACAGTTTAGATCTCATAACTTTAGAGGTGAAGTTAGGGGGTTGTTTTGCACTTATTTAAACTGAACAGCTTATAGTCAATATAATTCGCGAACAAGTAGCACCAGACCCAGATCCCTGAGGGATTTCTTATCTCCCTCAACTGAAAAAAAAGTGTATTTATTCCTACTTTTTGTTTTCTGTTTTTGAAACAACACTCCAGCCCATTATCAAATTTTGAAGCAAAAGCATCAAAACCTAAGAGCCTCACTTGCTCAGATCACATGCCTATTAAATCCAGCATCCTGTTTCAGAAAGTTGGAACTTCTTTACCTGGGCAGAAAAAGCAGAAGGTAATATCCCTTTCTCACTGTGGCTCCAAAGCAACTGATATTCAGGGTGATTGTGTTTTCTTCGATCAAAGAAGCAGTATATACGTGACAAATGAATTGTAGGTTCATAGTCTCATCTTCCATGATTGGAAGATAAACCAGTCCTCTCTTGGCCATTTTAGCAGGGGATTATGGATCTGAAATTCAACAATCTGAAGGGTACTGAGTTGAGGAAGACTGATCTAAACAATATTAGTTGATAATTCACAATTATTATAGTTCATAAATCAAGCCAACTTGTTCTCTTGGTTGCAATGGGAAAGTGTTATGATAACTTATGATGAATTTTCCATAGGTAATCCCAAGTCTTTAAAGTATTTAATTATGACAAGATCATAGGTTAATTTTCCCTACAATTTTGAAATTTTTATTTTGATTAAACTGTTCACTGACCTGAACAGAAGATCAAATATTACATGACATAATGACAGACCTAAATTTAATGCTTCAAAGAGATTACAATAAAGAATGAGATACAGATTTTAAATTTATGTTAAAAAATTGTCCCAACTTACCCTGGCTTTTAAATCTGATCTTCCTCTTAACTTGCTTGGGCTGACAAAGTCATTTGAAATAGAAACAAACAAATGCAATCTATCAGAACAATTTGAGCTGCTTCTGTGCATCAGATAGTTCTGTTTACGCTTTCTCTTTTTGACAAACTATGCAAAGAGTTGGTATTCCTTGGCAGTTTTATCTGAGGGATTCGTGTCTTTCTTACTCATTAAGACTGTCTCTAAAGATAACAAAGAGCAAATAATGCCTGGCTACCAGACTGTGAGAAAAGTCTTCTTGAGTCTGTAAAAGTAAACATGGGATTTTCTTTTCACATAGTAGAAGGTTTGGATGCTGTCTACTATCTACTTTATCACTGATTGAGAAGAGATAATAAAGCCCCCCCAAAGAAAGACAGAAAACGATGATCAGCCAGTTGATCTTGCCTGAGTAGCTACTATACTATACATAGTTGTAGCTACTATGCATAGTTGTAGACTAAGCACATTGATCAAAATGACAGTTGGCACATGTTGTGTTAAACCATTATTTTAAAACCATGATTGATTCAATAAACCATAGTTGGTTGGGTTCACAACACTTTAAATCATAACAACGATTTGTAAGCCACATTAGCTGGTTCATACAACATATTAAATCAAAACTAATCAACTGACATTATGGCTTAGCTTACTGTATGAACCGACATATGCCTTACTCTAAGTAAATATGAAGAGGAGATGGGTCATATAGCTTCCTGATCAAGCATATGCTTGGCATTTAGAAGGTACCAGATTAATCTCCTGATCTCTCTAGTTAAAAGCATCAGATGATGTAAAAGTGTCCTACTGCTACTTAGAGCAGATAATAGTGGGTCAGATGGGTAAAAGTTTTTAATTTTATTAATAGCTGCTTCACGTATTCCTAATGGGACTTTTTTTTTTTTTATCCGCACTCAATCATTACCGATTCTGCGGTGACTGCCTGGACGTGTCCCTGCAGTTTTCAAGGCAAGGTGTTTTGGAAGTGGTTTGCCATTGCCTCCTTCCTAGAGCAGAGCCCAGCTGGTGAGCGCAGGAAGCGGGGTTTCCGTTGCTTCGCACCTTTTTCGGGCATGCACGGTTTCCGCGCTACTGGCAACTGCTCCCATCTCCTTTTGAAGTAAATATTCATATGAGTTGCCTATTACAATACAGCCCATGTGGCCCAAATACTTTATTCTGTCTGATTTTTCCTGGGCTCAGAAGCTAAGCGGGGTCAGATTTAATTAGTACTTGGAAGGGAGACCAAGGTTTATAAGCCAAGACTAAGGACATGCCATCTGATTTAGGGACTGCAGTATTTTTAGTAATACAAAGCTATAGGAATTTCATCGATAAGAATGTCTTCAGATAGCAAAATAACTTTGCTGGGATTAAGTATTTTACACTTGGCTTAGAGCAGGGAAGAATATATTGATTGCTGTTCTGCTTTATAGAATGTCTTAGCTGATCCTGCTTAGTGAAGAGCAGACAGCAGCAATCTGGATTCGAAGGGCAAGATGTAGTCTGAGCGTGTGTGGGCACACAGGCAGGACCTGTTAGGACAGTGTTGTCCAAACTTGGCCACTTTAAGATGAGTGGACTGCAATTCTCAGAATTCCCCAGCCAGCCATGCTGGCTGGGGAATTCTGGGAGTTGAAGTCCACTCATCTTCAAGTGGCCAAGTTTGGACAACACTTTTAGGAACACCTTAAAGCAGCTACCACGCAAGCCTAGGAGAAGATGTGTCTGGTTAAAGGTGTTCCTGACAGGTGTCATGTGTATGTGCCCACTTATGTTCTGAATCCTATTTTGCCTTTTGAATCTGAATTGTTGCACTGTCCTAGTAACAAAGACATGACATTTATTAAACTTTTGGAAGTTCACAAACATGATTAGCTGGTAGCACAATCTGTGCCAAATGTTCACTGCTGGCAGCCCTTGCTGTGGTATCTACTCAGAAATAGGCTAATATGTCTACAGTAAAACTTATTTCCCCTCCCTCAACATGGAGAGGATTGCAACCTTAATTATTTTACACACACACACACACACACACACACACTGGCAGAGTATTACTTTGTAGCCAGATTTGTGTACTATAAACAGAGCACAGAAAAGTGTCTTGAAAAATAAAGTTTATCTGCTTCTGATGGTATCTGAAATAAACCACAGAATTCTGGGCATTTTTTTAGCTAAGGCATCTACATTATAATCAGCAAGAAAGTAAACAGAAAACGATGAAGTTTACAAGTTATCAGGACAACTTATGCCACATGTAATTAGAAGACATTACTTACCACCTTCAAAAGCACTGGGAATTGAATGTGTAAATGGGCTGTTAGCATCGTTCTGGTCTTCTTCAATATCTATCTCAGTAGTTATCTCCGGCTGAAATTAAATATTTTGTTATTAAAAAGTCTTGTACAATTAACTTATATGGAATGTTAATAGAATCTGTGCATATATATTGTTGATTAATATGGTAACCTTAATACATATTACAAAATTTGAGGATTTATAAAGTGTAGAAATTTTGAATAAAGTAAATGTATTAGCGGAACAGAGAAAATACACTTCTAGAAACTGTAACTTAATATATATTTTAAACATCCTGACCAAGTTAATTCATCATGAACAAAGCCATAATGTGGTTTGTTTGGCTTAGTGTGTTGGGTGAATCCAGCCATTAAGATGTGCAAAACAGGATTTATTACCCAGTCAATTGCAGCTTGTTTAATGAACCACAATTAAACAACCCATGGCTTAGGACACTGAGTGAATCCAGTCATTTATAAATAAGTGATGCTAACACAAAGCAGGAGTACTCAGCCTTTTAGGACTGTTAGGCAAAACTGGAATTTTGAGACCACATTACAGGTATTTTTCCAAACTGGAGGTTGAAGAGAGGCTTGCTAATTCTTAAAATGGATGTCAATGGGAGCATCACCATTTACAAAGCACTGATTTAACAGAATGCTATTTCCCTTTCTAGTACTTGCTTTCAGAGGACACTGTGAATGCCTGGAATGTTCCTTAGAGCAGCCATGTAGATAGGGAGCCTCAACTTGAATAAAATTCAGCAGCAGCAGAAAACACAGCTAAACAGATCTAAACAGATCTGCTGGAATCTAAGGCTGGGTTGGCAGTTGAGTTCCCCAGGCTTACGATCCTGGGGGACTTCAATCTGCCATCCCTGGGCATGGACTCAGAAGCTGCTTGGGAGGTCACAGCCACCATGGCAAGCATGGACCTGACCCAAGTTATTTCTGGCCCAACTCATAGTGGAGGCCACACATTAGACCTGTTTTTTTTCTCAGAGCAGTGGTGATGTGATCTGGAGTTGGGAGATGTTACCATCAGTCTCTTACCATTGACAGATCACTTCCTGTTGGTTCTGGACTGCTCTGGTGCTTCACCCTCACCCCCACCCCCACCCCCACCCGCACAAGGAGGCAGGGCCTATTCAAAAAGCCTACCCACTCACCTGATGGACCTTATTGGGTTCCAGAAGGAATTTGGGGTTATTCCTGGGACCATTTGCAGGACTGCCTGTCCTCCATTATTTCTCCCTGCCCCACCAGGTCTAGCAGAGAGGGCATGCTCCAAGTCCTTTCCATCAAACAATGCCATCTTGTTGGACCTTGGAGTCATGCCTCTTCTGTGGCTGTTTCTGCCCTGTGGAACAGCATCCCCCCAGAGATCCAGATGGCCCTGACCCTGTTAGCCTTTTGTAAGGCTCTGAAGACCTTGCTGTTCCTCCAGGCTTTTGGGCCAGGCAGTTTGGCAACCCAAACTGCCTGACCCATTTGGTATGAGGTTTAGTTTTGTGGGTTATTGTTCAGTTGGGGTGTCATGCGTTTGCACTGTTGTGGTGGAGAAAATTGATGTAACAAACAAAATGGAGGCTGCAGGTTCAAACCTAGCTGCTCTCTTTGCCTAATCCTATCAGACCAAAATTGACTGTCCCTGCCCCCCTGGACAAAGTCCCCTGCAATCCCATATAAACCAAAGAATAGAATAGAAACCTTGCTCACCCACTCACAGTATAGCCCAAGGGCAGCCCTTACAAGGGAATTGCAATAAAGAGAGAACCCAACCGTCCATTTTCCAGCAGGGATTCTCCAACATCCCATCTCCTTAACAACAAATTTCTCTGCTGCTGCTCCCAAAAGTACCTGCCTAGCTTCCTTCAAAAGGTGCCAACACATCAGACCCCTAGGATTTCCCATCCTATAGCCCTCAACTACTATATGAAATCTTTGCTTTCCCATTTTTGGGGGACCCTCTTTCTTGTAAAATTGGGACCCAATGATGGTTGAATAAACAATTGGTTATTTCTCCTTAGTGTTGTGCTCTGTCCTTCTGAGTTTTCCATGACACTGTTACAATTGTTTTAATCTTTGTACGCCACCCAGAGGCATTTTTGTGAGATGGGTGGCTCAATAAATTGTTTAAACAAACAAACAAACAAACAAACAAACAAACAGCACCTGGTTCAGAATGCTGGCCAACATGATCCTCACCTTCAGCCTCTCATATATCTTTAAAACCAAATAGCAAGATTATACTGTACGTATGAAACTCAGTCCAGCATCTATTTCTCACTTGGGAACTGTATCGGCAAATAGGGATTGTGTCAGCAGCGTCCCCAGAGGGGGACAAGGAGGACAGAATGACAAAAGCAGCATTGTGGCATCATGATGCAGGTCTTGCCCATTTTGTATGTACATTGTGACGCCACATGCATGGGCAAAAGGGACAGAGCTTGCATCATGATGCCTTGATGCTGTTTTCTTCATCCTGACAAAAGCAGCAGGAATCAGTGGGTGGCTGGATTGTGTGTTCACAATACTTTGAAAGCACCATCACTTTTGAGCATACTAGTAATCTTCTAGGCCCTGAATGACAGGAAGATCTAAGCAACATGCTTATTAGCCATTGTGAAACTACACACCAGGGGTGAATACTGCATATACAAACTACTTGAAATCCAACGGCGCTTGTGTGGAGGATTCTTATTCTTATTCTGGATGTGCATAGGAAGAGATTTCTGAAATACAAAACACAATTCAAGTGATTCAGTGGCCAGTGAAAACTCATACCGCAGTTAATGCTCTATCCTAGCATTTTCAAAATTATTACTAGAAAATGAAGTTATAGAAAGGTTTCAAATGTGAATTTATGCAGGCACCATTGTTAGCACTGGTATTCATACTAAGAACGACTGCCAGCAAAAGACAAATGAAAGGGAATGTTCATTCTCCAAGTCAGAAGGACAAAAGACATTGAGGTTGGCTCCTAATTCACCCAGATGGGCCATGATTTGCAAGAGACAGTGTTATGTCCATGCTGGACATTACAGTGTTATGATATACAGAGACATACCACAAAACAAAGAAAACCTCAAATAGAAGGTCAAATTCAGTGCCCCAAAACTAGGCCTCATGACTAGTATCAGAAGTGCCACATAAATCAGAAAACAGGTCTTTTCTCTATTCTGATCTTCAAAAATACCACAGGCTTTTAGATTTAAAGAAAAAAAAAATTAAACATGGGTACCTGTTATACATACCCTCTCAGTTAGTGATGGGCTTCTGAATTTCACTGATTGCCGCAGCGATTGTCTAAGAAACATCTCATTCCTAATAGCATGCAGGCTAAGAATAAATGGAAACAAATTCAGTTTTTAAACGAATTAAATGACTGCCCCTCTCCAGTTTCATTTTTACAGAGTAGAGCTGAAATTGAAAGATTTACTGAAGTTTGTCAAAACATATTTAGGTTGCCAATAGAAACTTCAATTTCATTTTTCTTTAAAGCAGTGTACCCCTCCACCCAATGCCCATTGAAAATTCTTTCTGCAAATCCCCATAGTTTCAAAAACAGTTGACTCCTGCTGCTTAACAAGCAGAAATCTTTGAATTCTAGCCTAAATCATAACAAATTGGACACACACCACTGCAAGCTATTTTTACATATTATAACAAAATACCCTTTGCCTTACAGACTGAATCTTTCTTTTCCCATTTTTGAAGGAAGCAACATTTGCTCTCCTCTAGTTCTTTGGCACTTCAACAGTTCTCAGGGACTTCTCAATAATAGCACGTAAGGATTTATTGGACTATCAGCTAGTTCCTTCAGGACCTAGGATGTAATTCACCAGGTTCTGGAGATTTAAAATCAGTGTGAAGAGATATTCCCAGACTATTTCTATCTATCTTAAATTTTAATCCTGCCCTTTAATTTCCTGGTTGAACACATAGAGGTTTTTTTTGTTAGAAAAGTCTGAAACAAAATTGGAGTTAAGTAACTTCTTTTTCTTTGTTACCCTTTTAGCATTTTACCTTTTCTATTAAGCAGTGTGTATAACTAATTTTAACTCTCAATTTTAAACATATCTAACAAAGACCTTTTCATTGGTCTTAGCATTCTTAGCTAACCTCAGCTCATTCTGAATTTTCCTTTTTCTGACACCAGATTTACAATTTTGGGCTACCTGTCTGTATTTTTCTTTGTGATCTGGCAATCTTTCCATTTCCTGTATGGGTCCTTCTTTGTTTTCAGATCTTTACTAAGCTTTTTGCATAGCCACATTGGCTTCCTTTCCTATTTTTTCTCCTCACTGAATTTTTTTTCAATTATGTTTTTAATGTTTCCTTCTTTAGGAATTCCCATACATACTGAGCATCTCTTCCTATTAATTTCTACTGTCACAGGATCTGGTTTTTAATTTTCTAAGCTGATTGAAATCTACTGTTTCAAGTCCAAAATGCATATTTTGACAATGCTTAATTTTAGTTTCCCTTAAAAGCAAGAAATTCAGCATTACACAGAAACTTTCCCAATGTTCCAGCTACTTTCACTTTTCAGTCTTCACTGTTGAAGTTAGAAGTGAAGGACAGCTGATCCTCTTATGCACTCCAAGACACTTTGAAGGAAAAACAAAGTCCATAAGATAAGTCACAAATTTTCTGCAAGGACCATACTTGGCAGAGCTTGTATCCCAATAGAAGTTGGGGTAAAGTATCATGTCATTATAATTCCATTCCTCTTTGAAAGATTTGCAACTTGCATCTGAAAGGCATCATCCATATCGTCCTCTTTGGTAGTGAAGATGACAGTAGACACCAACAACAGTATTGTTTCATTTGTTCCTCTACTTATTAATTGATTTGGATATCTGAGCAGGAAAGGATATCTTAATATACAATGCAATTGTTTTCTTTCTACAGCTTCTGTTTCATTTGAATTGCTATATTTCAGTCGTAGGAGTCATCCCATCAAGTCACTGTTATACTTATTCAAACACATTTGCTCCTCTGTACACAAAGCTCAAGTTCACCCTGTTCATTTCACATACTATGAGCGCTAGTGTACAGAAAATGAAGGCTTTGAATTTTTTGAGCCAATGTTCTTTTGATTTTTCTTTGAATGACTTAGGAGGTCTCATTTCAGCAACATTTCTACTTTCTACAATGCACAAGTCTTTATTCAAGGTCTTTTGTTCAGGGTTTCATTTCCCTTCCTCACAGGACTTTAAAGTTTAAAGCCTTCCTAATCAATCTCACCATGTTTTGGCCATATACACTTTTACCTTTTACCAATATTTGTGAAGCACAACCTGTCTATGACAACAATCTATCATCTAGATACCTCGGATCATGGTTGCAGAACTCAAATCTCTCCCATCCACACCATTTGCACAGCCTCTCATTGACCTGTAGTACTCTTCTATCCCTTTCCAGTCTTGTTCCATGGACAGGAAGAATGGATGAGATGATCACCAGAAATACCAGGATCTTGGGTTTCATTCTGAGATGTTTGAAGTCTGTGATGATAGACTTGCAATTGTTTGCTGCAGTATCATTCGTTCTCTGCATTTATCAGCTTGATTGTCATTGGACTTGGTAAGTCTTGGAAATGGTTCTCTTCTGTTCTGTCATGTCCTTGATCCTTGATCTTTGTGCCAGGCAGATAGCATACTCACAAATCAATGGGATTGGTCAGCTTATGTTTGCTTCAACTATGATTCTCCTCTTAGTACAGTGCATAGTTGCATTCTCTCTGCCCTTTAGGGATCCACTATCCTGTCTCCTATCCTACAGAATTTCTTTTTATTCCTTTGAATGTTCAGAGCCTATTTTAATTGTATGGGCCTAAAAACTTTCTGAGTTTCAGTGGTATAGAATATCTTCTATGAGTTTTGCCATACCCCCAGCAATATGCTTTCTTTCCATCCTCAAGATGGGAAGAATGCAAATCACTTCAAAAAACTGCTGCATCCCATAGTGTTCTTCTTGTTGCACCTTGCTGCCCCCAAATGATGGTGGAGGCTATGGCTGTTAGGAACTGCTGTGGGGGAAGCACAGAGGTAAGGGCAGGTGCATAGATGGGAGAGGAGCAGGGAGGCCGAAGGATCTAAGCATCCCTAGGTCTTTCTCTTCTTCTGCAATCACAGAGGCTGGCTGGAGAGGATTACAAACAAGCAGCAATAGCAACCTTTTGGAATATGTTCAAGGAGACTGCTATTCCTACCTGAGCCTAAGGAAAAAGTGTTGATTGTTATGGAGTCTCTCTTTCTCTTTGCAGTCAAAGCAGAAATGGCCACAGAAGCACAGACCCGGGGCTGGATGGGGCAGGATGGTCCTGAAGTAGACCAATTGTAGCTACTCAAATTACTGATCTCCCTAATCAGGCTAATCAGAATGTTCACACAGATGTTTGTATTCCAGTGGAAAATATCATTTCCTCATCAGTCTGGATTACTCTGATCCAGCTTCAGCTGCCTCAGCAGCAGGGTTGGTACCGAGATAGAATTTCTGTAGTGAGGATATGTCCTCAACAATGGTTAGCAGGCTATCTCAGTGCCAGAGCAAGGAGTGTGTATAGATGAAGTCTATTTCTCTTGCTTCTAGTTGTTACTCTCATTCATTGCACTTGCTCTTCTGTGTCTTCTTGCTCTTCTATTTGTCTTCCACTATTCATTTCTGTTGCAAATCCTCCTTTCTTTGAATTAATGAATTCTTCTCTTTTTTCATCAACTGAAGTATGCTCCAGTACTGTGATGCCTTCTTTAAGGACTGCTGTAAGCTTGCATTTGTTGCAATATATTCCAGGTTTGTTTGTTTATTCAGTTGTGTTCAGGCAAGAAGGAAAACTATAGTAAGAAGTGCAAGTCTCAATTGCAGATTCCTGTCTTTACATTTTTACTTTGTTTTTTTAGAACATACTGTATCTAATAGAAAGACTTTTATTTCTTCTTGTTCCTTGCTCAGGGTCTCATGTTTGTCCAAGTACAAACTTCTAACAGAGGGAAAGTCTGCTAGGGACATTCCCCAACCACCAAAATCCTCAGGTAAACTCCTGATAGGTCTTCTTCTTTGCTCATTCAGTTAGCTCCTCCCTGGAATCAGGCTGCCTAATATTCCTCTTCCAGTCTCTGCTTACTCAGTAGGGAGAAGTCATCCAAGCGGACAGTCAGCAGCTCCCAAGATACAATCCTTGTAATTATCAGCTATTCAGGAAACGGGTTTTTCATACTTCATGCCCAGCACACAATTCCTCAGAATAAGCAATTTCTCTGACTACTCTTCTCTTTTTTCTGTTGAACTCCCCAGGCAAATTCCTTTTAGCTTTCCTTCTTCATATCTCAATGAGGGATAAACTGTACTTTGAAGTCATAGTTTGTTGTTGGCCTACAGATTCCATCTGTGCTTTATGTAATTCAGAAACAGAGACGCATAGTTTGCTTACAGGATTCTGGACTAATTCAGGTTGAGTATGCATTTTACCCAACACTCTAAACTGTCCAAAGAAGAGCTGAACATGGAGGGAGTTCCAAAAAAGGATGAGAAAGAAACCAGAAATTGGCCAAATAAGGCATGATTTTGTGTATTTGCAAGACTGTCTGGGTTCATACATTGCCATAAACGTTTACATGATTGCTGGGTTTTGTCATCATTATGTGTGCATTTGTACTTTGTAAACTATAGTTTATGGCTTAGTGTTATGAGTGAAACAGGCCACAATGACTTGCTCAATGAAGCATATTTAAAAATACCCAAGGCTTAGTATGATGTGTTAATATACTTAAACAGATATTATTAGTAATGCAATACCTTTTCTTTAGAATGTCAAACTTAACTTCCCAAGATTGATTCAACTGATGCAATTCCTGAATAAGTCTGAAAAAAGAGAAGGGGAAAATGTATATATTTTCTAAATATGGGATGATTGTCTTATACACACAACACATCCTTGTGCACATACCTCTCTGCATGCAATCTTGCTTGTTGTTCAGCTTTCTTAAGCCTCTTTATTTCATCACATAATGCTTTTCTGTCAGCTGTCGTTGCCTTTTCAAATATAATTTTCAGTACATACATACAAACACACAAGAGCCATGTATTAATTATAAATGTATGGGAAATCCTGAACACACAATTATAACAGTTGGGCAGAGATAGAAATATTCATTTATTCATTCAAAGATTTTTAGTATATATTAATATACATAAAAATGTATTTCCAGGGACAGATGTTACATAGAATTAGGGCCACAACTGAAAAGGCCTATCTTCTGATCCAAACCTCCTTCATTGAATGTGCAGGTGGTACCCTAACTAGGGCCTGTCTTGATAACTTAGCAAGATAGGCAGACTCATTTTAAATTACATAGACCCTAAAGTAAACCAGCACTGTGCCTTATATGGCTCTATAGGTAATAACCAATATTTTTAATTGAGCTTAGAAGCCTACTGGCAACCAGGGCAGTGACTAAAGCATAGGTGTTATTCTCCAATAGAATTCATTCCCAACACTTTGGCTGCTGCTTTCTGTATCAGTTGTAGCTTCTGAACTTATTTTACTTTTATATATAGACATATACTTATTCTCTTACAAGAATGAAGAGAACAGAAGCACATATGAGAGAGGAGTGGATATGTGAAACAAACAAACAAAATTAAAGAGATTCAGTCTTTAAAATATATATCAGAGATTTTTAAGGCCTGCCTAACAGTAGGTAATGATGAAATTACATCTAAAAATGTCCCATTCCTTGTTGCCAACTTCTGCACATTCATCAGTGGGGGGGTGGGGGTGGGGGGGGGGGGGAGAAGAGAGAGAGAAGAATTCCACAAAAGTTCTACAAAATTCTACAAGTTCTACAAAAGTCAAGTTCTCAAAAGTGACAGTGTTGGTATACAAAAATTTGTGTTTGAAGAATTAGAGTTAGAAACATAGTTTCTTTAAAAAAACACACAACTCCTTCATAATTGACTGCCCCCAATCTACCGAGCATATACAGCATTGAAACCATTGAATGTAATTATAATTTATTTATCAAAAGCTGGTTGTACAAAAGTCTTGGGAAGTTGTATGTGCAACAGGTTTATTCAGAAGCCTACATCTTGTTTAAAAAACCCAAACCCTTACTGTTATTTCTAGTTCAGAAAAGATAACATGTGAAAACAGATTAATTTAGATGTTATTTAAAAAGGCATTCATTTATGAAGATCAGGAGTAGGGTGCCTAGTGTCCACAGATGGCAATAACTATGGGCATCTGCAGGATCTTGCTACCTTCATCAGAAGTATAAAAGCTCTCACCCTATCCTAGGTACATGGTGATATTCACAAAAGGGATAGGACTTGCATCTCAATGATGCATTGCTGCTTTTGTCATTATGCCCTGCTTCCCCAGTGGACACCACAGGACAACCTTTACAGTCTCTGATCTCTGGCCATGCTAACTGGGGCTTATTAGAGTTCTAGTCCAAATCTGGAAGTCATTAGCTGCTCTACCCATAGTCTAGTGGTACAGTGGTCAGCATTTTGGATTCCAACTAAAGAAAGCTTACATTTTTGTTCATTTGCTGACCTGGTTTGGATAGATATAGATATAAATATAATATCTTAGCATAATCAAATGAGTTAAATATATTCTCCATTGTTATACTGCCCATTGCTTCCTTTGTTCTCAGTAATTATCCAGAAAAACTTCAGTTAACCTGTTATGTCCAAGCAGGAAGTTACAGTTACCAGTATCGGACTAAAACAATTTCAAATTCTGTCTTATTTCAGTACTGAAAAGCAATTCATTAGTTGACATAATGGGAAACTGTGATTAATTGAAAACTGTGTCAAGAAGGAGGGAAAGGTTACTGGGAAGACAGAGCGTGTGGCTACAGAGCTCCTGCATGTCATGGCTTATTCAACTGATATGAATACATCCCTACAGAACCAATACATCTTAACCTAATCCTACTTTTCTGGTTTTTTGTGCAGATAAAGGATGAAAACCATGTACACTCTCTGCAGTGGTTTTCTCAATTTACACTCTCTAGAGGTATTGGGACTACAATTCCAAGCCAATATGCTTATTAAGTCTTAAAGGAAAGGCAGAAAAGCGAAATAGCAAAACAAACAGTTGCATAACATATCAGCAACTTTTATCTTCATCTTTCATCAAAACTAGCTTAAAAAAACTAGGCGAGCATAAGATAGTAATTCCATAAAAATGGTCATCAGTGATTTTGTTTTGTTTTCTCTGCTAACCCTTTCCAAAGAACATTTCAGTGGCAGTGAAAAATCTCACAAAAGGTAGGCTTGCACTATGGCTTTAGCCTAATGTGGGATGCTAGTGGAATGTAGTGTGGACCATGCCACCTGTCAAGAAAACCCCAGGAAAAACAGAAAATTCCTGGCTCCCTGTTCATGTTGTGCTTCTATTACAAATGTCACTGAGAAAAGTTATGATGAGGACGATGATGATGATGATGATGATGATGATGGAGATTTCCACATGCAATTTGGGGAGCAAGGTTGTCTTAGCTTAGAAAAACAACTCAATACCTCATCCAAAATTTCACTTTTCCCATCTCCTTTGGTGGCTGCTTCTTTGTCAGCTGTGTGTTCGGTGGCTGCATCTTTGGTGGCTGCATCTTTGGCAGTTGCTGGTTTAAGAGCTGTGTCTTTGGTGGCTGCGTCTTTGGTGACTGCGTCTTTGCTAGCTTTCTCTTTCAAGCTTTTTCTCCGTGTCTTTTTCAGTTTTTCTTCATGGACTGATGCTTTCTATAAAATAAAAGTAATAATTCCTCAGTTTAGGACACGGAAGTTTTTGTAAGAGACTACTTCCAAGCACTAAGCAATGATCAAAATCTCTCTCTAAAGCATGGCGAGGTTTGCAGGGTGGTGGAGGTAGATCTTTTCTAGCACTCCCAAGGGAAACTAACCAGCTCTCACCTTTGTTCATCCTTTGATGGTCTGTTTCAGAAGCCTTTTTTCAGGTCCTGCTTCTTAAATATGAAGTAATACCTGACTGCTTTTTTATTTCTCTAATGGAGGACTACTAATCTGTCTTTAATTTTAATTACCCTTATTATATACATACATACATACATACACACACTGTGTGTGTGTGTGTGTGTATGTATGTATGTGTATGTGTATATATATATATATATATATATATATATATGAATTACTGTTTGGGTACTTTGATGGTCAGTGACAGGAAAGGCAGGGAGTATAAATATTAGAAATGAATAAAATGCAATAATAATATGCTATGAAGGGCTGAATGTCAGTCAATTTATAGTGCAATGGAGCTGTCTAGTCTAGTCACAGCATTGTCAAAGGAATAAAATCAGACTTAAGTACAACAATTAATAGCTAATGCAAGGGTGGGATGAAAAAGCCAAGGAAGATCAGGAAACTAATGTAGGAGAAAGTAACATAATGGGGAAAAAACTTTTTTAACTTCCTCTCCAGAGCACAAATCTGATGTGTTAAGCCTCTGTGATATCTCCCTACCCCTAATAAGATGGATGGATGGATTGGATGGATGGATGGATGGATTGGATGGATGGATGGATGGATGGATGGATGGGAGGGAGGGAGGGGGGATGTACAAGATGCTCACTGCAATCTTCAGAAAACACAAGCAACAACAGAAATAAATACGGCCTTTAGTGGGGAAAAGTTACTTACTTCTGTCCTAAACTATTAAATAGTCAACAGAATTTCATTGCTGTTGTGTGTTATTTCCAATCATATGTGTATTTTAACTATAGATCAGATCAATGGTTTTATACAGAACACTAAGGCTGGATTTTAAAACCAAGATTGTTTAAACAAAGCATTCTGAGTTGGTTTGCACATACTACTATTCTAGGTTTCCACCCTGGTATCTGTGAATCTCAGTATACCTGCAGACATCTCTTCTGGTGCCTATCAAGGCCATTTAATACTTTTAAAATATTGTATACAAAAAATGGGAAGCTTACATGTGGTCAAGCGAAGTGCTAACCTCTAGAATAAGCTGATATCCAAGAATGCTTATGCATCCTAGGCATATCCCAGAGGCATTCTTAGCAAATAAAAATGATAAGGAGCTGCTGAAAAGTTTATTCACTGCCTCCCAAAAAGACAGAAGCTAAAGTGGTAACAAGTTGCCACAAAGGCTACAAGTGGTTGGCAGCAACAGCCTCTCCCTCCCTCCCTTCTGGCTTTATTTTCTTTGCCATCATCATTCTTTTCCCTTGAGCTGTTTTTGTGTCTTTTCTATTCTTCTTTCTTTTTAAATGTTTTAACAATTGTAAACCACCTAGAGTCACTGGGAGCTGGCTGGCATATACATTTAATAAATTATTATATTAAGGTTGCTGCCTATCTTGTTGTTGATAATAACAACAGTACAGGGAATGGGCAGAGTTCAGGAAGAGCGTTGCCAACATAATTTTTGAGTACGTATGAATGTGCTGAATGGGCAACGGTAGGCCAGTCAATACCTCCCTTAGCCTGCTGCTATGTGGATAAAATGAGCAGAGTGGTGCTTTCATGCTTAAAAACACAAAACAAAGGCAGATAATAAGATTAAATTAATACATTTTCCATGGTTTGCTATATGGGGCACATTAGGTAAACAACCACCTCTTTAATGTTCTCTTTTCAAAATATGGTACGCTATGAGAGTACCATAATGTGTTTTCAAAACTCAAGATGAGCTCACTGGCCTCAAAAATCTGAACATTCAGACAGAATCAAAGGTCTTATACTTGAATCAAGCCATTGGATATAATTTTCTTTTCCATGTACTTCACTACTTGCTAACATTCATACAAAGCCTATTATACTGTATAGTCATTAGCCCCAATTTCCAACTGTCATAACTGCTACTCCTTAATGGTTAAACAGTTTTGCAGACCCCTTCCTCAATCATTCCTGTTGTAGAAGAGAAGTTCTGGTTGAAACGAAGTTCTGCCAGTCACACAGATATTCAACAATGTATTTGTACTTTTCTTCTACATATAAATGTTCATGTGGAATATTAATAAAATTGTAACAGAAGGCATTTGTAGAAACTTTGATTTGTTTAAAGAAAGGACAATCCATGATTAACAGGAGCAGCATTCAAAGAGAATTATACTAGGAGCAGACAATGTGGTTGTTTCTTTTGTTATCTTGAACTTCAATTTCCATCATCCCTAAATAGCTTGTCCAAAAATCACATTTAGAGGATTCCAGGTTGCAGATTCCAAAGTACAGTACTGTGCAAAAGTTTTAGGCAGGTGTGAAAAAATGCTGTAAAATAAGAATGCTT